GGAAGATGAAGCGACTGAAGTATGTACTTCGCAAATTCCTTTATTTTTAATGAGTCATATTATTCGATGCGAATAGTTTAGTATCACAGTCCAAAAATTCGTGTTCGTTAACCATTTACAGATAACCTTCTCAAGTTTTTCATATTTTGTAAAATCTCTCACTTTCACATGTTACTGCACTACGTTTTTTTATTTTAATATCTTACTAAGATTATTCACATATTAATTACTAGTTTTCAGTTTAGTTTGGAGTAAATCACTTCAATGGATCTCTCACATTTTGACAGAATGATCCTATTAATTCGGATGGAACAGAAACTTTTTAAATATCCATATCGACCACTCTAAATTAATTTACCCCAAAATATCCATAACGCCTGCTCAACATCTCCTAAGTTTCTTGTTTATATTTAGACTAGCCATTGATAGACGGAGTTACATGGGATGCAAATTTTATTTTTTATTGGAGATATCGTAGATGTTTCACAAGTAAATCCCTCACTAATTTGTCATATATTATTATAATTTAACTATATAAAAAATATATACATTCTAATCACATTGTTAATGAATAATAACTTACTTTTAATGAAAAAGGATAGGGTTAAGTCAAATCGCGGACATCGTGTGTTTATTTGATTTTTCTGTCAGTTTGATAACTGTAAAATTTATTAATATTATTTGTGTTTCTACAGTGACCATATGAGACACTAATTTATTTTGATGAAAAAACGAAACTACTTGTTTTTTAAAAGTAGCTTGTTTGATTAACGAAAAGAAGAATTCGAAACCCAGTGAGACTATAATTTATGGACGAACCAATCAGGTGTAAGATAACAGTTCATAGATTTTGATGCGAAATTCACTCATCCATTTGGCAATATACATTCTGCCATTATGGCTGATGTCAGTTGACGATGAAAAGTCTACATCTAATTCCTAACCTTAGTCACTAACTGTAAACCATAATTCTAATTTCGATAATGCTATGAGAAGACGAAGTTTATCAGAATTATGTGATATATTAGCGAAATACATTTCGAACAATCTGATCACACATATACTTGTTAAGAATATATATATATATATTTTTCCAGAGTGGTAATCACGTTTGTTTTTGTGTACTTTGTTGTTTTTTCCTTTGTTATGACTTACTATTAACCTGTCTATTTGACCTTTTAATTTTCATATATAAATGTTCTTAACAAGTATACGTGTGATCAGATTGTTTGAAATGTATTGTGCTAATATATCACATAATTCTGATAAACTTCGTCGTCTCATTGCATTATCGAAATTTATCTAATTCCTCACACTGATTAGTAACCCTCATTTGGTCCTAGTTGAACACTCTCAAGGTCACTTAAACATCGCTCAAAGGTCATCCATAAATTATAGTCTCACCCAAAATACCTGTATTCGTTCTTCTATTGGAAAAATCAGAAATTACCAGATCCCGAAATTTAATAAGCATTCCTATGCAATGTTTATCCAATGTTTTGGTAAAATTTTAGCGTCTCTCAAAAGACTGATCACGCTGCAATCAACGGATACTAAAATTGAGCAGATACTGGATTCTTTTGAGGAAGATAAATCAAAGGTTGACCACTGTCATAGTGTATAGTTCACTAAATTTACTAAGTCCCGTTTTCACATCACTATTTAGCTAAATTTTGAAATCTTTGTATTATCTCATTTAATAAATCATAGAGTTAATGATAAAGAGTAGTCTGAGTCACATCAATTTATTTCAATAACATTTGTTAATCCTTTTATAATAGTGAGTTGTCTTTGCTATTACTTAACGTTGAAATTTTAACAATTTGCTATTTCTTCTTCAGTTATTAATACTTCTCAATATTATCTTTCGCTTTCTTTGTACAAGTTACTATTTAAAACGTTGTGTACTTTAAACGATTTGCTTGATTTTGAAACATAATGATTAATTATTTATGTTAATTTATCATATACCTTTGATAACTGTTGTTCTGTTTGCTTCACATTAATTTGTAATCTTCCAAAAGGAAAAAAATTGTAGCAATAAGAATAAACTAAAAAAATTTACGGTTAGATCTATCGAAGCGTCTAATTCACCTGATTGAGATACGCGCAAAACCGAAGTTCCAAAACAACGATTTGTCTACAATAGCGGTTCTTTATTGAATAATACATAAAATTTCGTTACAAATCTCAACTTTTGAGATGTCTGGGGCGTTTAAAGGAGTCTTTCAAGTATAAAAATTAAAAAGCTTCGATAGTACAAAAGACAGCTGATAGCTGTCTAAATTTGATAATAGTTTATGAACAACCGAAACCCGAACCAAGAGCAAAACAATATAGAAACTGTTGCGTTTAAACAAATGCACGAAACTGTGGTTAACCGCTACAGTCATTAAGGTACGATAATTATAATGATAAATACAATGATAAGTACAATAAACGTCATAAATATATGTGAACAATTCAGAATATTACACGACAACTTGCGTTACAACATAGGTTTAAAAATTGTTGGGAATACAACTGCTTATTGAATATAAATAAGTAGTACAAAACAATATACAAAAGAGTGGGAGGGAAACGAATAAGAACAATGTAACCCAAACTTAACATTTACCATGATTTTATTATAAGCAATCTGTTGGTATCAGCACCTAATACTTCCAAACGTTGAGTTATCTATTTCTATCCAGTATGGTATTTGAAACTTACCTTTTAAACTAGTAGGCATTAGTTGGACAAGTTTTATTTAGGACTGAAGCTAATCAAAAACGGATTATATTGAATGAATATTTTTACTGTCGATCATTGTTGTTGGTACATAGATCTTTTTTAAAGATTCATGGATCATGGGATCTGTTTCATTACTACGGTATGAGTGAGGCTAGTGATAATATACAGAACAGAAGTCACGTCATAGGTGTATTTGTTTTTTTCACTTTCGTATTGAACATCAGTATTCATTAGACAGCATTAGCCTTGTAATTCATAAAATGTTATTATACAAAAATAATAAAATATAATCCATAATGTCAGAATTCATTTTATGTGCTCCAAACCTTCAACTACATGATGGTACCATCTATAAAATGTTCTATGAATATTTGTCGTTATGTTACAACAACAACAACAACAACAACAACAACTACTACTACTACTACTACTACTACTACTACTACTACTACTACTACTACTACTGCAGTGGCAAGTAACACCAGTAGGAAGTGAAATATCTGCGAGTAAAAGGTTTAGAAAATTGAAATGAAGAGAGCGGAGTAAGAAACTGAAAGCAATTAAGATAACAACAGGAATGAAGGAATAATTAAGCTTGTAAGAGACAATTTAAACAAGATATGCAAATGATGTACTTGATGTATGATTTTCATGTGTAATTGTGTAGTGCATTAACAATTTATCATTGCAACAGTAATAACTATTGAAACTTGAGCTTCATACGCAAAAATAGTATATCTGATTTCTGAAAACCCTTTTATAACCGTTTATAACTTCTTAATCAGTTGTTTCTCATATCTACAAGTTTCTAGAAATAGTAGGTTTTTTTCATGTGCTTATAATGAACAACCATATCTCATATTTCTCTTTGATGACATTTTCGATTATTTTATGAAAATGTAAATTGTTATAGGTAAACTGCTGAGGAGTCCCACAATAGGACTAATCGGCCGTCCAGCGCTTCCTGGTTTTACAAGGTGGGCTAGCTTCAACTATTGAAATAAACTAATGAAACTTGAAAATTCTGAAAACCTTGTACTTTAGTCTTAGTCTCTTTTCTATTAAACTTTTATCTTTACATATCGTTTTGTAGATTCAGTAAATAATATTATTAAAAAGTACGTTTTTGATTAAACAGACTTTAATTTTCCACCAGTTATGCAACAGGATTGTTTGAATAGTTTAATTACTGACTAAAATTAAGACTAAACATGGAATTTAACTATCTGGTCAAATCTATTCCAGATTAATTTATTAATCGCAAAATTGTCACATAAGTAATTTATCAACCAAGAGTATTCTGAAATGTAAGTACTACTTTTTCTTATTTACAACCTTTAAGTAGAGGTTTGAGCCTCACTCAAATCAAGTGATTGTCCTAAATCAATTGACATACTAAGATTAAGGCTCTAAATTATGTTCTATAAATAAGTACGGTGATGGTTCCAGGATACTGTTACGTAAGACAACCATAGTTTTGAAATTTTCATCAATAGTAAGAATAAAAATAGATGTTAAACCATTAAATGTGAATCATCATTTCTTAAAAGAAAGAAATAAGGTTCTCAATGTCATTCCTCTTTGCTAGCAGGGTAGTTGGAGGTCAGTTACGGACATATTAACACAAAGTCAGGTTTTTACATTAGCACTATTATTGTTTCTAATAATTCTAATATAGTCGAATATCTACTGCTTATGTTTTATATACGCTTTGACATATTAAGTAATAGGCTTGTTCATAAACAGTTCAACTTGAAAAATTATACAAGTAAGTGGCTACAATTAAACTAATGACTATTTAATCATTTTGTTGAAACGTTTGAATTTCCGTATTTCATACATTTACATCAATTTAACACAAAGAAAAGAAAACCAAACTGAAATGAATTCTTTACGTCTGTTTAACTAGGATACACCATAGTATTAAATGAAAAACATACGTTTTATTTGTAAGCAAACTTTAGCTAGTTTAGTTGTGTTCAATAAAACTCAGATCAAAGTACTATGATTGTGTTATATGAAACTAAATTATAATATGACTTTATTACTACTTTTTGTTTATCAGTAGTAAAATGTATAAAACAAAGTGTATGAATAAATATTCCACGAGAAATGGAGTTAATCAAAAAGATTAAATATCATAATTATTATGTATATTATTTTGTATATGTGTTTTATTTAATTGCTTTTTATCTGTTATCCGAATTAATGGCTGTATATGTAAGAGAAAGGTGTAATGTATATGTTTATATGCAGTCATAGGTAAATCAATTAGTTGGTAATGCAATTGCAGGAAAATAAAAATTATTGGATATACGATAATTTGATGGAATAATATCAACCATATTTTGATCTGCAAATAAATTTGGTCTAACAGTACATCGTGCTGATGATGTAGAATTCTGCGGATGAATTGATTCATTCATATTTTCAAACGTAACGACATCTTCGGTACTAACATTAATAGATGTAGTATTATTGATTTGAATGCTGTGATTATTTATCCCAATAGTAGCAACATCATTCTTGGTCACTGAAGAATCCTTCATAGAATTCGTTCTTTCAGGACGATCACATTCTCGAGGAGTTGTATCAGATAACGATACACAATGTCCATCTATAATAAGAACAGAGATTTTACTGTGAAAATTGAAGTTCTATCAAAGCATTCAACTAAGAAAAGACAACTAATGTGTGAAAAATCCTTGTCATTCCACCTTACCACTGAAAAATTTGCTGATCAGATAAAAATTGTCAAGAGTGAATCATTTAAAATTATGACGTTTTACGCTACATACCTGATAGGATGGTTAAAAAGATATCTGAAAATGTTCGTGTTATTTAGATTCGTTTAAAGAATATATATATTAAGGGTGTCGAAGAAAAATAATTCATAGTCATTCACTAATAAGTTAACAAAGGGCTGTAGTCCTTTTTATTCAAACTATTTTATTATAACCATGGGTATTACCGATGTCTTCAGATATTTTTATTGAGCTATTATACTCTACGGTATCTGTTTCCTTAACAAGATCAGGGTTATCATCAATATCAGCTTGATAGTATTTGACGATAAATCTTTATTTATCTTTTATAGGAAAACCATAGTGTATAGGAACGATAAAAAATATCTGATTTATATCAGTGGTTTTTCAATATATGTAGTTGATATGTATTCCATCAATAACTAAAGTAAGAGAAATGGTGATCAAAGGTATTGTATACAATATAGAAAATCCGTATGAACCAAAACCTTGTAAGATCATTTCGATTTAACCAAATTTAAACCCTGATTTAGTTAAGTCAGACCTAAAGACGTGTCGTTTCATAAAGTAGATGGTTGAAATAATCTATTTTAAATTCTTGTCGAGATTAAAAGGGTAACATCTTTAAAACATATAATCTATATTTCTAATCATTGATTTCGGAAAGAGTATCTCGAAATTGCTCTGTTAGGTAAAATAATCAATACTGATTCACATGTAACGGTAGTGTTACCCGTTCTGTCGATGAAATTCTCCTTCTGTTTCGTTCATTCCACTTTTCCTGTAATTTTTATTCACGCTACTTTTCTATGTTGACCAAAATAATTGCTAGTGGTTTTTACACAAATATTCAGCTATACATAAGCTCTCTTTGTATGCATGGTTATTAGTATACGTAGTGAGCTAGACTTACAGCTAGCTGTTACCGATTATTAAATCAAGGGAACTGCTTATTCAGTTTAGTTATAGTGAAAAAAGGTTTTATATAAACCTGTCAGATTTCACTCCTTATACTTAACGTAGGGTAACAGTGGTATGTAAGTAAGTAAGTGTAAGATTTCAGATTATCTGCTAAGATCTATGATTGTTAGTAGCTTCACTAATAAATTACACCACAATGGTATCAACTTTTGATAGATCCATACAAATACATGTGGAATCCGAAAACAAATTGATTTAGTTTTGTATCACAATGCCTTTCCTCATAATCTGATGTTCTTTTATCAACGAAGAAGGATGAGGACTCGGCTTATCACGAATATTGTGAATTTGTAGGACAAGTTGAAAAACTGACAGAAATAACCCAATCGCTTGTGGTGAACATAATTTTTCATTGCATACAAACCTAATAGTCGGATGACTGAGAAGTGCGAAGTCAATGTATCATACATGAATATCAAATAAGATCGAAGAAACTGGTATATCGGTAGAAAACAATACATTATTCATAAACAAACCAATTCTTTGCTACTTTTTTCGTCAATTAAGTAGTTAACTACTTAAACTTCAAGCCATTAGGGAATTAAATAATTTTTTTGGTCAAATAAACTGTCTAAATAGATTACATCTTACTTGTTGAAGAAAAAGGTATTTTTCCAAATGAGTTGGGATTGGAGAAAAATCTGTTCATGATAAAATCATGCTCTATAGTGTTATTACTATTTGAAAAGTTAGATTCATTAACGTTCGATGTCAAACTATTATCATTAATAAACACTGGATCAGATCGAAAATGAAAATGTGATAAATTTTTCCCCATCTTGTTTTCATTAATGATGTTTTTGTCATTGTTAGTAATATGATTCAACTCATTGAAGCAATCAGATTTGCAATTATATTCCCGTTCATAAATTTGATTTGAATTCATTCCATCATCATTAGTTGATAGAAGTCCTTCACCCATATTATTCATTGAAGGTATATTCTCTTTAGAATTATCATAGAACTCTTCTATTCCCATAGAATCAGCTAAACAGCATGTTAAACTGCTAAAACCTATTTGATCATGTTGTCCTTCAAGTGTGCCACGACATTCAATCTTCTTTTTACGTGCTCTAGCATTTTGAAACCACACCTGAAATCAATAAACAAATGCTAAAATCTTAATTGATAAACAACACCAAGATGACATTTCAAAACGTTTCATACGTACAATTCTTTATGACAAAGACGCCAGTGTTTGTTGAATCATAATATTAAATCACTGTACCAAAGAAAACCATATCACCTAGCATCAATTGGAAATTCTAATCAGAAAAAATACAAATGCTACATTAAAATTATGAAATATGATACTAAGGGTGAAATCAACCAGAAAAAAGAAGTGGTCATGAGTAATTAAGCTACTTAGACGTACCAAAAGCTATAAAAATTTTCTTTTTTATAAAAGTTAGGCCATATTGGTTAGTGCTACATAGGAACAGTTCATCAAGTACCAAATTACGTTCTGGCTTGAGATCTGCTTGCCATGATCGAATAGCTTAACTCATTAAACATGATGTTATCTATGATTGTTTAATTGTTATTGAATTATTAACTATGACGTCATACTTATATTGATTAAGGAATAAAATTATAAAATACTGATTAAAAAAATGGTTTTAACAAAAAGTTGACATACTTGTGTAACACGTTTATTTAGTTTCGCCATACCAGCAATACGTTCTAATTCTTGACCATCTGGATTAGCTTCAATGTCAAAATTAGCTTGAAGTATTGCTAATTGATCAGGTGTAAAACTTGTTCTTATACGTTTTGATTTTGAATGTACACTACAATTACTACTTGTACTACTATCAATTGAATGACCATTTTCAGTCAGTGTCATAGAGATATCACCATTACTTAATAGAATTTCTTCATTAAGCATAGATTCATCGATTGAACACCAATTATCTGTAGTTTGACAATTTTCTATTGGATTCACTGCTGTAAATTTTGCTGCTGTTGTAGATGAAATATTTGAAATGCTCTGTAGGTTATTTACTGTTGGATAGTTTGATGAAGTTAAGAAACTATCCGTTATTTCACTTGACTGATTAAAAGATAGCGATGTAGACGATGTACTACAGTTAGCATTCATCATCGTTATTCTATCTGCTTTATGTCTATTATTAGGTAAATGAATATTATCTGGATCTAGTATAATCAAAGGTTAAAAAAAGAAGTTGAAAATACGACTACATTAGTATGAAATTTCATAAAATTTTTAAAATCTTTATTTCTGCTATAGCAATAACTTGAATTAAAGTTTAACGGTTATCCAAAAATTTACTCATCTGTGTTTTGTTCTAATCCCCGTCAAATATCACGTGACTAAATCGCCAATTAGAACATGGACTAATATGACCTTGTCCCTATGTTAAACTAAAAACACGTTAACCAACACTAACAGCCTTGAGTCAACTCTGATTTATTTATTGGTCCTCTGAGTTAGTAGCTCCTTGACTAATCTAGCCCGTTCAGCCCAAAACACAAATAACAGTTGTATATCTCAGACATACGTGACTTATACACGAGCAGACCAGACCATATCACACCATAAAATAAAAAATAATAATTATACAAGATCAAGCCAAAAATGTCTGTGACTGTGAGAGATCGCAACTAATGAACTGGGCATAACTTAAGGATTGTAAATCGTATAATAGTAGCCAATGGGTCAAATGAAATTTTGTGATAAGAAAAATATAAATATATATATATAAACTAGTTACTTAATAGTTATGTAATAATATATATAACAGTCCATAAATAATTTCTAACAGTTATCATTTATGTATCCTTCGTTAGAATACATCAGTCCATGTATCACATTAAATGCATATGTGTTGATGGAATCATCTAAGTGCAGGAAGTGAGTGTAAATATAACAAGTCAGCTGATAACTGGTAAATCAATTTAAAATCTTGAAAACATTATTAATAATTATTTTATTTTAATAGTTGAGGTCATAAGTCAATTGAATCTAGACCACCATTGAAAACCTGGAAGCACTGTACTGTGTTCAAGAGGTATTTCTTGGAGCTCTAGTGGGAAGCAGTGACCAATAGAGTTCAACCGGGTTTATTGTCAGATAGTAACTCACTGAAAACAATGGTGGATGTGTCAATCAATTTCGTGGATTAGTTAAAGTTAGACATTAACAGTGCTGGTTGTCGGCTGGTTCAGTGGTCTAGAGTTTAGGCGAGACTGACAGAACGTGGGTTCGAGGCTTGCGAGGTCGGATCGTGGGTGCGCACTGATGAGGTGTTCCTTACACGGACGAAACGGTCGTCCAGTGCTTCCAGGTTTTCCATGGTGGTCTGGCTTTAATTGACTCATGATTCTCAACTGTTAAAATTGCTATAATATCCACAAAAAACCCCTTTTGATATTAATTATTTTATTATTTATGATTATTTCAGTATAAAAATGTATGATTGACATTTTACACCTTGGAAATTTATCATACATTATTTCGTGAATTAACTAAGACTTTGTTATATCTCAGTTATTATCATCACAAGAATCTTTCAATGATTCATACAGGTATATATTTTATAAATAGAAAGACAGGTTAGTTTAAACTAATTGACTATATGGATGCCAAGGTTCGATTAACTATGAGAATCGATAGGACATTTGGTATCCCATATATTCAGTGATTATAACAAATATCTTCAGCTAAGTATTATTTGGTTCCAAAATGTCAATTAAAAAATCATCCTGCAGAATTCTTCAGAAGAAAAAGATTTTACTTGAAATTTAAAACATCTCATTCTTAAAGTGTGATGGTATTTTGAAAGTCATTTAAAATTTCATATATATTTCTAGTCATTTGGATATCAAAAAAATGATAAATACTATTAATTTTCTATCTAATGTTGAATTTACTTGAAATTATCAAATCCAACCTTGATATTGATGTGTGGTTATTTAGACTCCGGATTATTCAATTATCATACTTGCTATCCACCTGAAAATTCGTGTGTTAATATTTCAATGACCCAATATCTTACTTCAACTAGATCGTATGAATGTTATTAAAATACACATGTCGGTTATCCATGAATATAATTATCGACTTAATCCGAGTTAGTGAATAACGGGATTAAATAAGTCAAATACGAGAACAAATTTCGAATACGTATATTTCATACAATCTTTGATCCAGACAAAATATAGAAGAAGCAAAGAGAAGAGAGTGAAGTGAAATGACGTCCAGTGGAGAAGGCATGTGAGCCAACTCCATCTAACCAAGCGTTTATCAATATTTATAGTCACATAAAATAAGCTACAGATATGTGGTGAGTAGAATAAGAAGTGCATACACATATGCGTATATAAAAACAGCCACGGTTGATTAGCGAAGAATGAATAAATTGGCCTGTCCAGAAGCTAGAATACGCTATATGGGCTTAGCATAGCAACTGACACTACAGTATTATTGAAATTTGTAACTTTTAAATCTAAGAATAACGCGTATTATTTTGACTCAGACTGAAATGTAAAGATTTAAGCTTTAGAAAAACTAAAAATAAAGAAAAACATCTAATTATTCTTGATTGCTTTCAAAGAGGATTTTAGTGGTCATCTTAATCATTTATTCCATAAAGCAACCTCAAAATTTAAACAGGATTGTATATTTCTATAATAGTTTATATCAAAGAATTTGATATTGGTATAAGGTGTATGAAAGCTAATTTCAGTCTGTTCATCATAGTAAAATAAAATATTATATACCAAATGTATAATCAAGGCTCAGGACTGAGCGGGCTGAAGAATGCTGATCGGAGGCCTATGCTCCAATGGGGGGGTCACATGTGTAAGTAAGTAAGTGAATGTATAATTTGCACTTTCCAAAACAGATATTAACATATTGCTACAGCGGAGAAGATTTGTAGCTCAAGAAAATTATTTTGATTAAGTTTTGTTCTCTGACCTGGATGGTTTAGTCGTCGAGCTCTCATTGTTCTTCTGAACGATATCCTCACAACAAAAGTTAGATAAAAATGACGAGTTCGAATTTTTTTCACATATGGCTCACAGTTTGTCCTGTAGACCTCGATCTTGATTATTTATTATTGGCCTTTAATCTGCCATTATTTACTTCTTTATTTTGATTGCATTGCCCATTGATTTGATTCTTGGTCCTATATTTGTCCATTATTTTACTGATTAGTTGATAAATTGGATCGATTTCAATGTGCTTGTTGATTGCTGATTGACCTGAGTGCCAATCTTCCAAAAAATTCCCTGTCGTTTTTGAAATTGCCTCCATCCGATATTTCCACATTTTTCCAGTTGAATGAATGTCCGCATGTCGTTCAGAAGAAAGATGAAAGCTCCACGACCAAACTATCCATCTCAGAGAACAAAACTCCATCAAAAATATAGTTACAGTTATTATCAAACAATTGACTTAAATAACAGTTGGGATGCAATACTATGAAATCAAGTACAAACTGTTTGAAATTAATTTAATGTAAATATACATTTTAATATAATGTATAACATAGCAAGAGAAATACTGTTTATATTAAGATAATCTTTAATTTCGAAACACTATATGATTTGTCAATTTTTGTTCTTAAAGAATTGATTGACATGTTCAGACCTGTTTTTTGATGGATCACACATAATATTCTTGTGTTGTTCCTTTGTACTATTTAAACTTGGATTAATTTTGATCTAGTTATTTATTCACTGAAGCGGCTTGCATTGAGTGACGAAATATAAGAAAATCTAATTTTTCTACTCAGCGGTATATTACAAATATATTAATTTATTTATAATTATTCAAACTGTTGCTCCCTATAGTAACTCTGCGGTGTTTGGTATTCCAACAGATTTTATTGATTCATACATCTTGTTTATATAATGGGCCTATTCATCAAAGGTCTCTAATTAACCATGAAGAATGAAAATAGACATCATTGATCATCATGTGGATATTTACTTAATTCATTTTAAGGAATATGGTTAATGCAATAGAATCTATACTAATCTTGTTCTATCTACTTCAGCTTGTTGAACACACTAATAACATCATCTTCATATATGCATTGTGATTCAAGTCGTACTGAATGAACATGTGCTCAACTACTGACAAAGATAGAAAATTTGGTTATTTTTAAATTTATCTTGGAAGAATTAAAAATATAGTGAGTTATGTCACCTTAGCACATTCTTTATTCTGTTTTGAATTAGAAAATATATCTGTTTAGACATAAAATGTGCCATTCAACCAGTTACTAGTTAACTGTGAGCAATCAATATTTAAAAAAACTAAGTTCTCGTAAACAATTCATGCTGAATCCAAGTTACAATTTGTTATAAATTATTAAAAAAAATCATAAGAACTGAAAAATGAAAGTAATTGTAACTCAAAGATTTTGTTGAATGAAAATACTGAACTTTGATTATGGTTGTAGTTCTACATTTATGAAGTAAGATAGGAGTATTGTTCCTTTTTATTTGTGAATACTGGTATATTTTTATCACTAAAATAGAGCAGTTTCGAACTCATCCCTGTATCGTATGATAATCAGTGGTTACCGTACTATAAACAACGAGCTAAAATAGTTCTGGGAGATCATCTTTTCAATACGACAATATTTCAATTAACAGTTTATTATTAATCTTGGTATAAATGTTTAAATGCCCAATTGTGTGAATAACACTTGCTTAAAAAATGAAAATGATTTTCGAATTGAATTAGAAATAGACAGATCAAATAGGTTAATCAAAACAAAATTATAGAGAAAATCTTTAGCTATCAGTTAGTTCCAAAGTTTCACCAAAATAACGGCTGATATTATAAACATATTATTTGTTTGTCTATTAAGATTCATTGTGATTATTTATCACATTGTGAAAAGTAGTAAATGTAACTTTTAAAGTCATTAATTTGAAAATCATTCAATTTTTAAACTCATTTTGTATTGTTTGTTTGAATCTTTCCATTGTTGTTTAAGACTGCAATTGATCAGTCTCTTATTGGCATAGGTGCACATTGTGTGGATTGCTTCGATATTGCTTTAATTCATAAGGATGACAAGCAAGGATAAATGGTGGCTAGCAGTGGAGAATCCAGGACACTTGTTTAATCCTATTTAGGACTCGTCATCTGGATGTATTTGCATCCCAGTTTTAATGTTCACTCCAGGATTTAAGGTAATATGGAGACAATCCTCACAGGATGTATATATGTCAATAAGAGACTGATCAATTGCATTTCTTACCAATAATCGGGAAGTATAAGCAAACAATGCAAAATGAATTTAAACTTCACCCTATAGCACAATCAAGTGGCTATCAAGATTCAGTAGCTAAATGGATGGCGCGATGTCGTTTGGAATGAACGGTATTAATTTCGAGTCCCGCAGTGAACATCAACTCTGAGATGCAGATACATCCAACTGATGAATCCCAGGTGAGACGAAACACGTGTCCTGGATTCCACTGCTGGTCAACATTCGTTTTTGCATATTCAATTTTTATCTGATAATCTCCTTATTATTTTGAATATCTGTACCTTACTTTTATCTACTTATACTACTTCAACATACTTGATTTCATAGTTTGAAGACTTCAGAGTCCATCCTTCTTTCTAAGAGTTGCTCAAAATCTTCAAAACAATAATTTCCAAGGATTTTCTTATATATGTAAACATTGGTGAAAGAAGTATAAAATTACCAGTATGTATATTCGTTTCAAATTATGTAGAATACGATTTTATCGTATGTTTTGATTAGTAACTACCGTGAATACTAAGTCAGTCTATATAGTATAAATTGATTGAAGGACTTTACCCTTGTATCCATTCGCCTTTTAACATCATTTCACTAAGATTACCTGTATTAAATGATTAACTGATGTATTTATAAAAATTTACTTAGTAGAAAACTAACATAATGATTGAATACAAGTTTTATAATATGAAAGATAATTTTTCATACATTGCATTGGTCATCATCGATCAGTTCATGATCTCAATTAAAACTTAACAATCTCCACAACCCTAAACTGAAAAAAATAATAGTTTATTCTATGTAAAATGATGAAAAGCAGATTTTATGTAAGACTAACAAATCACCACGCGTCAAAAACCTGACCTATATGTTCAAAAGTAGATCGTTATTAATCTTTCCTTGCCTTGGTGACAAATACTCTTTCGCTGCATCTTAAAAAAATTTTTTTCTCTTTCTTTAAACTCTTTCTTTCATTTATTTCATCATTGAGTTTTATTTCAACTAACTTCTAAATTAATAATTTTATTTTATCAACTGATCTCTACACACTATATTCCTATCAATGTTTACTCATTGTGTAATCACTTGTTTCTAGTCGCTTGAACCATTATCACGATCAATGTTGTAGAATGTTCTTTCACATTAGGTATATATTTACAATATTCAGTCTAATTATATTTAAACCCTTGCTATACTATACGAATATGTTTTCAATATAACTTCCAGCCAAACTTTCATGTAAGCAATTTAAACCCATTATGTGATTATGATTTAAAATATCACAGGTTATAAACAACTGACGAGAACCTACGAAATAAAATGAATTCACGCTATTCTGATAGAATCTTTTTTCTTACTTTTCTTCAAAATGATAAAGGGAACTATGTATGTGAAATCATAAAGATGTCGATTTATAAATTACATTGGTAAACAGTGTATTACTTGACTATCTGTTTCTACAGTACTTTTCAATCTATGTAGTACGCAAAATTTGTTGAAATGAAATTCAAGTTAAAAATAAATTTTCAATAATAAATAGATGATATGGTTGTAGTTGTATTCAAATAAACGTCTGATTGTCAGTATAGAGCTGTGGAGATTATTGAATTTCATTAATATCATAAATCTACTAGAGTTAAATAACCAATGAAAACATGGTGATAGCGGATAGCCGTTTTATTCTATCATGAGTCTACTCATCAGTGTGCATTAAATTTCAGTTCAGTATACTGGAGGTTAAGAATCCGATTCCTGCTTCAAAGGGTCGTGGAATACAAGGAAAAAACGGTGCTTTAATGTTTCCAGAGTTTTAATGTCTGTCTAGCTTTGATTGGTTCAACTTCAAATTCTGATGTCAAGTATTTGGGTTCATATTTTATCTACATACTAGAAACATTCATGAAGACATAAAGAATATACTTTATTTGTTCAAAACATTATTGACATGAACACAGAAAGAAATTCCCAAATAATAAAGTCATAAAATGAATACATTTAACTTAGTTGCAATGAACTATTATACCATGTGATAAAAAGGAAACTTACTAAAATTTCGATTAATTTTTGTTTCATTCATACTGATTGAAAAGTTTTCTTGATCATATAAAAATTGTTGTAGTTTATCCACTTGTCTTGGTTCTATTTGATTTATGTTACTTATTGAATCTGTGTCTAAATTTAATACTTTCCATGATAAAAATTTAGTCATATAATGTTCATAACATAATACATCATTATTGAATATACCACATTTATCACCTTGATGTAATTGACGACCACATTGGAAACATGTGAAACATGTTGTATGAAATGGTACACGATTTAATTTGTGAACTTTCATATCTTCAGGTACTTGAAGTCGACATCTTCCACAATGTTTATATCTATCAAATTTAATTTTTTTTTAAAAAAAGGAATTGAGAATCATGTTCAACTGTCACTGGAATAAGTGAACTATATTATATATTAAATGGTGATGAACATTTGTGGTTCAAATTTTAACTTTTTAAAATGACCGGCAAAAGGAACAGCCGGTTTCATAACGTCGAACCGATTGATAATAGGGAGTTAACGTTATCAATTTGCTTCACGTTTAAATGATCAATATTATCTCATTACTCTTAATAATTATTATTACAACTCAAAATAATTATTAAAATGTCGGTTTATCCAATGAAAAAATCAAAAGATAAACAGTATAGACGAAACTATTTTTCTTCAAAAACTACCTAACAATGTTATAAGAAATCTAGTAGCTGTGAATTAGAACTTTCGGATCAAAAAAATGTATAATACATTTTGAATATCCTAATTTGTACACTTTTGACGATAATGCTTATCTAAAATTGAGATCAGATAACGAACCGTTGAAACAGACAGCAACGAATAATTCTCTCCCCATGGATTGAAACTATTCTTTTAGAATCACTGGTAAAAATTACCTATGAAAGTACATGTAAATTTTAGAGATCAAATAGACAATTTCCATCTTATTGCATCTTTCTGAGTTAGATTGTACCAGTTTCAATATCCTTCTATTGTGCTTACAATTTTTATCTGGAAAGATAATTAATACTTTACGATAAATAAAATACAACCATAATAAACTTTTCATATTACTTACTTAACTTATTCTACAAGAGAATCTTTAACTGTAAATAAAAAGTCTCTGTATATACGCTTACAATTCAAAGGTGATAAACCAAGTGAAATGCTAAGACTTAACTTAAGCAAATCAATTCCAAGAACTTTTAATTTATGTAAACTACAATGAATATTTTGCATACATCAATAATCACAATGAAGTTGAAAAATAAATTACCTAAACTAGTCACCTCTTTCTATATTCATCAATTCAACTTCTCCTGTGGAGGAAGTTATATTGACTAGACATCCTAGGAATTTATATATTCATGCTCGTAAACACCACCCAATATAGTTAAACGATGATGTAATCAAATACATTTAACTACTCCATTTCATTTACAATCAATAATATATATAATCATAATAAACTACTCAATTTTTATCAGAAGGGATTGTGTGGAGTTTTTAGAAATTTCACTGGTTGAAATCATGAATCCATTGAAGCTAGACCACCATGGAAAACCTGGAAGCACTAGACGGCCGTTTCGTCTTACTGTTGAACTCCTCAGCAGTGCGCATTCACGATCCCGCTCCTCGCGGGATTCGAACCCAGGACCTATCAGTCTTGAGTCAGGCGCTTAACCAACTAGACCTTTTAGCCGGCTGTCATCCAACGGTGTTAGTGTCTAACTTCAACCAATCCACGAAGTTGCGCCACCGTACATCAATTTCTTCAGTGAGTTGATATCTCACAACAGACCTGGTTGAACTCCACTGGTAACGGCTTCTCACTAGAACTTCAGGAGTATCTCTTGAAGTCAGTCACTAGTGAGCAGATTATTATTATCAGAAGGGATTGTGTGGAGATTTTAGAAATTTCACTGGTTGAAATCATGAATCCATTGAAGCTAGACCACCATGAAATTTTTGTTTACTTACCTTATTCTACAATTAATACAAATAATTTTATTCTCTTGATATATCCAACATTTTTCATCATTTAATGTTAAACAATGACCACATTCATAACAATTAAAACAATTTATATGATAAATTTCTATTGATTGATTTAGATTATTTAATTCATTTAAATAATTAATTTTTTTTAAATTAGAATTTAATAAATTTGTTGATATTTTTAATTGTTTTTTATATTTATTTTGTTCATTTATTGATTTTTGATTATTATTATTATTATCATTATATAATTGATCTTTTTTTATTAAATAAATTAATATTTTGTCATGAATTTGATGATTACATCCTTTACATTGTAATTCATTTTGATAGAATTCTTTAGAATGATGTTTCTAAAATTTAAAAAGCGAAAAAAAGACAAACAATATAGGGTTGTGTAGATTATGAAGTTATGGAATGAGAGTTGATGCGTGAGACTTATATGTCCTGGGTTTGAATTCCACGAGTGAGATCATAGATATGCACTACTGAGGAGTCCCACAATAGGACGAAACAGCCGTTCAATGCTTTCAGATTTTCAACTAATGATCTAACATCAATCGGTTTAAGATCTCAATCAATAAAAAGAAAACAAGCAATAAGAAATAATTTTTCTTTCTTATTTTTAATGGGTTTGACAAAGGTGAAATTATAATCAATCAGATTTACGATAATTTTTTTTAAATTTTACTTAAATAAAGTTTTAGTATTATAGCTGATGTCAGTTTATGATGAAAACCCTATATATAATTTTTAACTCTAAATATTAACGGTTAAATTATTAATCCTGATTCTTCACACTGATTTAGATGTAGTATGTAGTTGGATGTTCTCAAGGTCTCTTTAGAGTCACTCGAAGGTCGTTCATAAATTATAGTCTCACCTTGACAACTAGTAATAATATAATAAGACAAATAGAAAAAGTTTAATGTAATGTAAAAATGTTTGGTTTCAAGTTATTTTAAATTATATTCCATGTCTAATCTGTTAATAAAGTTAACTATTAACAGTATACGATTATAAATATAAGATTAATTTGAGAAATTCAATATGGTAACGGAAGTCTTTTATCATTGTAATTAATATACTGTACAAAGAAAACATGAAGAATAGAATACATTATGACTATTATTATATTATAAAACTTAAGAAAACTAAAATGTCATATGAAAAGTTATTCCCACGTATTTAAACTATAGAAGAAAAAGGTTTATAATCAAATGTGATTTGTAACTCTAACAATAAGAAAACTTAGAATTTAACCATATGTAAATTCTAGTTAATTATAGAGTTTCTGATTGACTTCAGCAATGTGCAAAAGACGTACTCGTAAACTATGTGGCACATTTGATGGAATATGGTAGATAACCTTAAAACCTTTATTCAGTTCAACTTGATGACCTGTGTCAACCAGGTGAGAAAGAATAGAACTCTTAATCACTTTTACATACCCTTTGCACAACCACGACTGATGGTGCTCTGTTATATGTACAACCCGGCAAGTTCGTCACCGTATAGCGATTAAGAGTTCTATTCTTGCTCACCTGGTTGAACTGAATAAAGCTTTAAAGGTTGTCTACCATATTTCATCAAATTCGCTACATAGTTTACGAGTGCATCTTTTGCACATTGCTGAAGCCATTGCAATCCATGATCACAAACCTAACTTTTGCATCTAAAAATGTTTTTTATTGAGATCATGAACCGATTGATGTTAGACAACCAGTGAAAGCCTGGAAGCACTGGACAGTTATTTCCTCCTATTGTGCAACTGCTGAGAAGTCTAACATCAATCGGTTCGTGATCTCAATCAAACTTTAATAGTCTCCACAATCCCATACTAACGATTATACCTTAATTTATTCTTTATGAATAGGCCAAAATAATATAAATTATTTAGAAAATCAAAAGTTGATTCACAAAAGAATATTAATCATCATTCATTGAAATGGATTGGGAAAACACGAATGAAAAACATAGTAGGCTAAATGATTGATTTAATTCTAGCTTATAGTTTAGAAATGTTCACCAATTTCTTCTATAAAAACTATAAGTATTTTATCGTTAAACGATTTGATAATTTCATCTCAATTTATAATATAAGAAGATTTTCATTGTTAATCATTAGTGATTTACTGTTATACTTGAATGATTTTTTATTATTTCAATAATATATCAACGGATTTCCGGTTAAAATGGAAACTGCTTTCAAGAATTCAATAGTTCGATTACAGTTGATCATAGTATTAAAATGTAAGAGGATAATGTATACTGCTGATTATACGATAAACCATATAACACTTTGGGATCCCATAATGCTTGTGCCATTGGAGACTCTCTGATGAACACAGTGTCGATGGTCAGTTATCTTGGTGTTACCTTTTTCTTTGATTTCTCTTTGTCTTCTCATGTTTTACTGTTATCGAAGAAAGTTTTCCGTCTGACTTATTACATAAAGAGACTGTATACTTTTGGGATTACTCGTCATTTACTCTTACAATTAGTCAACTACTGTATATTACCTATTATTCTTTACTGTACTCCATTATTCTTTCCCGGGCTTTTGAGAAAAGACTTTGCTGTATTGCGGAGAATGCTGAAGGCAGTTACCAAGGTGTGCGGTGAATCTTTCGAGGTCATAATTAATATGGTTGTGAATAGGCATTTAAAGTCATGAAAACTCCTTGTAGGTGTTATCTTATCAGATACTAACCATTCCCTTCGTTCATATCTTTCTCCTTGTATATCTTCTGGTAGAACAAGACATAATCACCATAAAATCCATGCACTCAAGCAAAAGTACAAAACTTCTATAATACCTTACCTAGCAAATATGATCTGTGACAAACAGGTTGCTAGAATTCACCCAGTCAGTAAGTATGTTCTTAAACATGTCACTAATTTGGAATGTTGTACAGTTTCAGATTGTTTTCCAACTTTTTTTTTCTTGTAAAAGAAACTTGTTGAAAGACCTTGTGCTGAGAATTCTATATTGTACCAAAATCCAATAATGAATAAAGCCATTACCATAGTAATAATAATAATAGTAATAATAATACACTCACTTTATCCTCTCCAGATAACATAGTTTACAGGTTTCAATTACCAATGATAATGAATAGATATCAATAATGTTAGTAACTGAATGAGAATTTTGTGAAACAAAAACAAAAAATAAATTGTTCCACTTAATCATAGGAAACTTGATGAAAATAGGACAGATTTACTTTCATTCCATTCATAGGCCAATAAACATCAAGAGACATTGAATTATTGTTTTGTTTTCTTTTGTTTTTTCTTTTGTTTTTTTTTCTTTAAAGCTTTAACAAGCATAAACTGAACTTTTATAAGACATTTCCTAAGGTGCTTGAATATAGAATAAATACATATATGGATTTAGGTATATACAGACAAAAAAGGAAAACTGAAATTTGTAGACAAAGTTTATTACATTCTAAGCTATGAGAGCATAGAATTTCTTCCAATAAATAAGCTTTAAATTAGACAAGGATATAGGGGAAAGTATATCAAGCTAATGTAACCATTGTTTCCTTACTGTTATCTGTTTTCACTTTTTGCTTTAACTATTAAAATAGTTAGTTAGATATGGTTGGTTGTTTTTTTTTTAGTAAATTTTCTCTAACCCTTTCTACATAACCTTAATATACTGATTAATAGTAATGAATAGAATAATAATAGACTGAAAAACTATTCTATAAAATAATGTTAAATATTTCCCTTTCTCTTAAAATTTCTTAGATTTATTTGATTTTCTATGAATAAGTTAAATAAGTGTGGATTTTCATTAGTTTCTTCTAATTTGATCAAAGAAAGAGGTCTGAAAAGGGGAGAAAGTAAAAATCAGTAGTTTCTACTGTTTTAAAATGTTCAGATTTGGAAAATAAGGGGATGAATAGATTATTGTGTATAGATGTCTTCATATATATAGTTATTTGTTCATACATGTTGTATATATGTGGGTTAAGTAGACGGAGTGACAGAAAAATGAAATATGGACGAAATAGACATAAGCTTGTTAATGTATATATATACGTATATATCGCCTACAATTGATAAAACAAATAACAAAATAATATTTCGGGATTACACAAGATATTTCTGTTTTATTCTATTAAATATTCGTTATTTATATTTAGTTATTTGGATTCGTGCTCAATAACCATAGTTTCATATGTTGATAAGACAGAAATTTTTTACAAACATATTGGGATAAGTAAAATATCAAAGCTTTTATATATATAATTACATGACTGTACATTAAATGTTTGGTGAAAATTGAGAGGACAACCTTGAGATGATGGAAAGGATTGATAGCTCAGGTGGATGATTTTGATGGAGTTTTGTTCTCTGAGCTGGATGGTTTGGTCGTGGAGCTTTCTACCTAATGTTTGTGCTGATGATGTCGTTCAGAAGAACCATGAAACTCCACGACCAAACTATCTGGCTCAGAGAACAAAACCCCATCAAAGAGCACAATCTCAAATTACTTGTAAACTTTTGATTGAGACTTATGAAAATAATAGATTAAAAATTACAACTCTTTGAAGCGAACCAAGCATTTCAATGAGAGTCGTCAAGACTACAATAATATACAGTTCGATCGTCAACCTATCATCCTGATGAAAGCAAAGAACTCATGTGACTTTCTATGTTTCCTAATCCCGACTTTCTAGAACTCTTTGCGATCTTTCAAGCAATAAAAACGAAGTAGGGTAAAAATATTGTTACAGATGAAAAGGAATTAGAAAATGGATGCAAATGATTAATCAGAAATCTTTTAAACTACAATAATTTGACATCAACTATCATTTTTGTCGTAAAAAAAAATAAAAGTTGTAGACGGCGCACACTAAGTTACACACAAGATCTTACTACTACACAGCTTGTCAGGAAATAACTTAAGTGATAAAAATTCAAAGAGTAGTTGATCAAGCTTTACGTTTCTATAACCAGAAAGGGGTTTTGTGGATATAATGGTAATTTAACAGTTGAATTCATGAGTCATTTGAAAACCCGAAATCACTGAACGGCTGTTTCGTCCTAGTACAGGACTCCTCGGCAGTGCACATCCATAATCCAGCTCGCGGGATTTTTGTCATACTATATAGTATAATATCATGACCATATATTATATAATAATATATGGAATTAGATCATCTGAGCTCGATATATGTTGATTGGCGAAGTAATTTCCTAGTCTATGTAACTTGGATATCTTCGTACGAAAAGATCCAACTAAACGTCTCTAGAAACTTTAGGATTTAAAATACATTTCCAGGTAGATAAGAAAATATCTAACAATCTCCTTGTGTCTTACGTAAACAAATATGGGTGACAATAGAAGAATGTAACAAAATTTCATGATTGGCCATCTGACATTCAACTGAAGGAGTGAACACTTTGCTTTAACTATCAATATATAGTACGAAGCTAAACCAATTGTTTGATTAAAAAAAATTAAATGTAATTCAAGGTAAAATATCCGACAATATCATTTATTTTAGCTATACAGTCGTATTTATGGCAAATCTCTACACATAATATTCTAACATGAGAGAAAGAGGTATAAAGCATTTTAATACGCTCACTGAAAACAAAGTGATATAACGTCATAAATTGTTCCGGAAATTTAAATATTGGGAAGCAGTTAGACATTAACACCGTCTGATGTCGGCTCAGTGGTCTAGTGGTTAAGTGCTGTTGTGTGTGACTGGTTTCGATTCCTGAGTTCAGAGTCATAGGTGCTCAGTGTTAAGTAGTTTCATACTAGAACAAAACGCTTGTCCGATACTTTCAGGTTTTCAATGGTTGTCTAACACAGATCGGATCATAATTTCAATGCATTACCGAAAAAAAGTTATGTAATTGTCCGACGTCAAATGTAAAAAAATATCAAGTTGAAGGTATTTCGTAGATGAGTGATACTTGTCCACTTAATGAGTGTGAAGGAAAAAATTGATGGATATCAAAGTAATAGCTAGTTGGTAATTATGAAACAATAACAGGAATGGAATTGATAGGTTATTGGAAATAAGAGATAGAGATATGAGTTAAGTTGACTGTAGAATAAAATATTTTACATATTGTTAATTTACATAGAGATCAGTCTTCAGTCCGTGGATCACTAAAGTCTGTTCACTATAAACATTTCGAATTTACATTCCCTTTTAGTCAATTCATTCAAATTCAAAGATGAATTTTTAAACTGGAGTCTGATAGAGCAACGTGACCAGATTTAATGTGACGCTTTGAAATTGAGTTATTGATTGACTTTCTTCATCCTTTTGACAGTAAGGCATTGTCATGCTAAGATTAATGTTAAGATTATGGTAGAGAACAGTAAACATATGCAACAAATTCCTTTTAGATAAAGGTTTTGTTTGTAAAGATTTAAAAGAAATAACAGATTTTTGTGAATATTTTCAGCTCGACATATCCTTATAACCATTTTTTAATCTGATCGAATGTCTGTTAGATAATGTACTTTCTATAAAAATGAACATTCTTGTTAGAGAACAGACTGTAGAAAAATATATCAACTAATATGGAAATATATTTCCATGAAAAGGCTTGGACGAGATTGCCAGGCGAAACGTTAGATTTACTTCAAATTCTTTCGCTGAGATTTTACAAATACATTCTTCCTCTTTAATGTGTCACATTAACTCGGCGCCCATATACTGTTAATCTATTCGATCAAATTTAGACGAAATTTTCTATTTTTTATTCTAATGTAGTGTCCATTTGAATTAACAATATTTAAAACGACAATTATTTATAGGTTGTTTCTAAAAAAATTCATGAGTAGAAACAGTGATTATCTAAACAATATTAATTATAATAGTTGAGATCGTGAGTCAATTGAAGCAAGACCATCATGGAAAAACCTGGAAGCACTAGATGGCCGTTTCGTCCTCAGCAGTATGCATCCGCGATCCCATCTAGTGGGATTCAAACACAGAATTCATCGGTCTCGCGTGCGAACGCTTAACCTCTAGACCACTGAACTGGCCGGCATCGAACAGTGATAATGTCTAACTTCAACTAATCCACGAAAATGATCGACACATCCACCATTGTCTTCTGTAAGTTACTATCTCACAGCAGACCCGGTTGAACACCACTGGTCACTGCTTCTCATTAGATCCCTAGGATATACTGTAGTGTCTTTTATTATGTTAAGCCCATATACCTTATTCTAGCTATCGGACAGCTCGATCTATTAATTGTACTTGAGTCACATTCTGACCTTGTCAATTATTCGCTTATCAATCATCACTGTTTTTATATGATTGCGTAGGTGTGTACATTTCATATCCCATTATTCACCACATGTCTAACTTATTTTTGTGAGCCTATAAATATTGATGAACGCTTTGTTAAAAGGAGAGTTGGCTAACCCGCCATCTCCACTGCGCGTTGTTTCGCTTCTCTCTATTCCATTCGCTTCATATACAAAATATATGTATTCAAAAGTCCATTCTCGTTGTTTGACTTATTTAATTCCGTTGTTGATTAACGCGATTTAAATCAATGAATTATATACGAGGATAGGCGATAACAGACATTGACGTGATCTATATTGAAGTCAAATCTCGGACCACTAAATTGGAGAGTCCGTCAACAAACATCGTCCGATCTAAATGACGACAAAATACAGGGCCCCACAGTACCTTTTGGAGACCGTCACTATTGAACATATGTTGACTAGTATCAGAAAATGTTTTGTGGATATCATATTAGTTTTAATAGTTGAGATCATGATTCCATTGAAGCTAGACCATCAAAGAAAACCTGGAAGCACTGAGCGGCCGTTTCGTCCTACTGTGAGACGTGACTGCGCACTGCTGAGTAGTCCAGGTTTTCTATGATGGTTTAGCTTCAATGGACTCATGGTCTCAACTATTAAAATTACTATAATATCCCGTAATAACCCCATTCATATATCAATATTAATTAATTAAAATAAATTGGAAAAAAAAGTGAGTACAGTATTTTAGTTATTAAAAAATGAATAACCTAAAGAATTATGCAGAATAAACTATTAATCACTGTTAAATGGGAT